GCTGGACGTGGTGGAGTAGTCCCAGCTACTTGGGAGGCTGAGGCAGGAGAATCGCTTGAACCTGGGAGGGGGCAGTTGCAGTGAGCTGAGATCGCGCCATTGCATTCCAGCCTGGGTGACAGAGCAAGACTCCATCTCAAAAAAAAAAAGTCATACATGAAACCAAAATGTGCCATGTGTGGTGGCTCAGGTCTGTTATCCTAGCACTTTGGGAGGCCAAGGCAGGAGGATCGCTTGAGCTCAGGAGTTCAGCCTGGGCAATGTAGTGAGGCAGTATCTCTACAAAAAAAATACAAAAATCAGCTAAGTGCAGTGGCATGTTCTAGATAGTTAGAAGGCTGCAGTGGGAGAACCACTTGAGCTTGGAAGGTGAAGGTTGCAGTGAACTGAGAGTGCATCACTGCACTCCAGCCTGGGTAACAGAGCGAGACCCTGTCTCCCTGCTTCCCCGGCCAGAAAAGGAAATCAGTTTTTTTTTTTTTTTTTTTTTAAGATAGAGTTTCACTCCTGTTGCCCAGGCTGGAGTGCAGTGGTGCGATCTTGTCTCACTGCAACCTCCACCTGCTGGGCTCAAACGATTCTCCTGCCTTCCCCTCCCAAGAAGCTGGGGCTACAGGCATGGGCACTACACCCAGCTAATTTTTTGTTGTATTTTTTTGTAGAGATGGGGTTTTACCATGTTGCGCAGGCTGGTCTTGGACTCCTGGGTTTAAGTGAGCTGCCCGCCTCAGCCCCCCAAAGTGCTGTGGGATTATAGGCGTGAGCCACCGCACCCAGCCCCAAAATGTTTAAAGGCTCTAAGAAGAGGTGTACATTAATTTTGGACTTCCATATTCACTGATGATAGAAAGTACTTGTTTTTTAGCCATTCGTTTGTGAGTGTCAGGCTCTTAAGTGAAGACGTTCAGTGAGTCAACATCCACGCTTGCCTGGGTTGGTACACATGCCTTTGGTTCCATTGAAGTTGGACATCAGTGCTCATGTGCTTTGAATATGAATATTTGTATTTTCACAAAGTTGGGGAAAATACATAAAGCATTGATGTGTGTTTTAATTAAATGAGAAAGTTTGTAAAGTACTTGGTTTGAATATGTTCAAGAAATGGTAATTTCCCCTTACTCTCTAAATTAAATGGTAAGTCCCACCCTTCTCACACCTCATCTCTGTAGTTACTTTCATTTTATTGTCACTGTTCTTGGACAGTTTACCTCTGTAACTAGCCTCTTTAGCACCAAAATTATCACTAGTAGTTGTGCTTGTATCAGAACCTAATTCAGCAATTTTGGTCCTTGTTGATAAACGAGTATACTTAATTTAGTAACTTTCATATTGCAGTGGCATTTTAAACCTGTGATTTGTCTCTTTATTGTGAAAAAAATGTGTATCAGATATGATGTTGTGCGACTTTGTCTTTAAGATTAATAAAGAGTTAACTCTTACGTAGAAGCTGGTCACCAAGGACCTACTTTAGGAAATTATAACAGTTATAGTACTATCTTAGGTTAGATTTTGTTAACCAAGATAAAAAGCTTCTTCTATCTTGATCTAATGTAGCTGTTAGAAGAAAGTAAACCAGGAGAAGGTGGCTGAACTTGGAAAATTTTTCACATTGTAGGAAAAATTTGGGCCATAAAATTTAAGGTGGCCATTTATGTTTTTGTTGTGATCTCAGATACTTAAGTGGATTGGCTTTCTTGATTTTAAAATAACGGAGGCAAAACACTGTTTTAAAGAAGAATAGCTATTACATATTAATTTGTCATATTACACACTACCTAATTAAATATAAATGGTAAGTAAACTTGGGCAAAATAAGTCTTATACTTCAGTAAAACTTCTTAGATTCACTTTCATAGAAAATTTAGAAAATTGTTCACTTAATTACTGAATGAGAAGTAACTGTAAGGCCGGGGGTGGTGGCTCATGCCTGTAATCCTAGCACTTTGGGAGGCCAAAGTGGGCAGATCGCTTGTGCTCAGGAGTTTGAGACCAGCCCGGGCAACAGGGCAAAACCCCGTCTCTACAAAAAATAAAAAATTAACCAGGTGTAGTAGTGCATGCCTGTAGACCCAGCTACTCAGGAGGCTGAGGTGGGAGGATGGCTTGAGCCTGGGAGGTGGAGGTTGCAGGGTGCCGAGTTCATGCCACTGCACTCCAGCTTGGGTGACAGAGTGAGACCCTGTCTCAAAAAATAAAAATAAAGTAACTATAATGTAAATTTTGGCTTGGCACGGTGGCTCACGCCTGTAATCCCAGCACTTTGAGAGGCTGAGGTGGGCAGGTCACCTGAGGTCAGGAGTTCGAGACCAGCCTGGTCAACGTGGTGAAACCCCATCTCTACTAAAAATACAAAAATTAGCTGGGTATGGTGGCGCACACCTTTAGTTCCAGCTACTCAGGAGGCTGAGACAGGAGAATTGCTTGAACCTGGGAGGCAGAGGTTGCAGTGAGCTGAGATCACGTCACTGCACTCCAGCCTAGGCAACAGAGTGAGACTCGGTCTCAAAACAACAACAACAACAAAAATATATATAAATAATATATTCAAGAAGTATGCCTAATGAACCAGAATGATCAGTCCTTTGTTGTTTTTTTTTATGTAGGAGATTTCCTATGAATTTTCCATTATCTTTTTCTCCTCGTAATCAGATCTTGTTTCGAAATTCTGAATCTGGAGATCTGTTTTATTCAGAAGTATTTATATTCTTTTTTGAAGGATTATGTGTAACTTCATTGTATGTTTTGTGGTACCCTTTATTGTTAAAATTGACTTATTTAAAAATAGGTTTTGTCCCTTCATCTCTACTAAAAATACAAAAATTAGCCGGATGTGGTGGCGGGTGCCTGTAATCCCAGCTACTCGGGAGGCTAAGGCAGGGAATTGCTCGAACCCAAGAGGCAGAGGTTGCAGTGAGCAGAGATCGCGCCACTGCACTCCAGCCTGGCGACAGAGTGAGACTCCATCTCAAACAAACAAACAAACAAACAAAAACATAGATTTCACCCTAGAGATGCATAAAGGTCCGCCTTTTTAAAAGCCACCTCTAGGTTGCAGTTTTAGCAACTACCAGTAGATGGCACAAGTTCCTGATAAAAATTACCTTCATAAGTTTAACGAGTATTAAATTTCTAAGTTTGTAAAAAAGGTTTTTAAGTTATAGATATTCTAGGTGAGATTGGTGGAGAGGTTATGGTGGGTTAAAAATGTCTGTTAACTTTAATTTTGCTTTATAGTAAAAGTCTTCTTGCAATTTTTTAAATCAGTGGTTCTCAAAATTCTTAATTGTGTATCAGAATTTACAGACGGCTTGTTAAAAACAGACTGTACAGGCCGGGCATGGTGGCTCACACCTGTAATCCCAGCACTTTGGTAGGTAGAGGTGGGTGGATCACTTGAGCCCAGGAGTTCAAGACAAGCCTGGGCAATATAGTGAGTCTCTGTCTCTTAAAAAAAAAAAAGAAAAAAAGTTATGAGGGCATGGTAATACCTGCCTGTAGTCTTAGTTGCTTGGGAGGCTGAGGTGGGACAATTGCTTGAGCACAGGAGCTCAAGGCTACAGTGAGCGACGATCACACCCCCGCACTCCAGCCTAGGTGACAGAGGGCGACCCTGTCTCTTACACACACACCCCAAAACAGATTGTACAGAATAGTATTTCTAATAAGTTGCTAGGTGATGGTGACACTAATGTTGACAGTATTTTTATTAATAATCTGAAGATCACACTTTCTGAACCACTGTTTTTAAAATAAACAATCTCTGTTTTTGTTTTTGTTTTTTTTCAAAAGAATATACCCATTTTCTACCTACCCTAATGTCTTTGGTCATATTTTCATTGAGTATGTGGTACCTGTACATACATGTTTTAGTGAAGTCATAGTATGTGTACATTTTTTTTCACATTCTGCTTTTTCTGTTATTTACACGTTCCTTACTGTTAATGTATAGTCCTACTTTATTTCTGCATTGTCTGTCCATTGAACTCTACTAGAGAATTCCGCCGTATACTGCAGCATCCTGTGAGAAAGCTATCATGTAGGCCTGAAAAGTGTTATAATTTGGCCTTGTGTTTTGACTAGTGTCTAGGATGGTCAGTGGTTTCATGGACACTGTCCCGTGTCTTTGTGGCGTAGGGAGTAATCTGGATTCAAAATAAAGCTAATTAAATTATACCTTCTGATATTAAATGGTATGCGTGAAGAGGTTTCTTTTGTAGCCATATATGCAAAAATCTGTTGAGTTTGTGACACATGATCACTTCAGTGTCAGGGGAACCATAGTGAATTTTGGTTAGTTTGTAAAGAGGCGTAATAAGAGGGAAATAAGAGAAATATAGTTGTTTTTCTGAAAATAAAGATGTCTAAAGCCCCAGTTTTCACAAAACACTTAAGAAATATGTCAGATCTTATTTCTTTTAAAATACAGAACGCTTTATGAATGTGTGTGTCCTCCCCATGCCAGTCTCTTTATTTTTCCAGTTTTGGTACATGTACTGCTGAAGTGAGCACCAGACCTTATTTTGTAGTAGGTAGATAAGTAAATTGGTTAAGAAACCCCATAATTGTAGTAAGTACAATACAATTATTATATTGTAGGGTTGCTAACAATAATAAGCAAAAGAGTCTTTTTAAATTTCACTTGTTTTCAAACCTTGAATCATTTCACTTTTTTGTAATGCATGACATTTTTGAAAACCTGAATATTTATATAATGGATGCATTTGTCCATTATAGCAGTGGTCCATTATTATTATTTTTTTTTTGTCTTGTGAGTGGTCCGTATATATAGCAATGTCCATTATTTTGGTTTTTTTTTTCAACCCCTTTTCCAAAGGGAAATATTCATATTAGGAATGGGGACAAAGCAGATACCCTAATACTTTAATTAATGTATAGTTCTACAATAAGCTGTATATTTTCCAAATGTAATTTAAACCATAATAGGTAAAAATACCTTCAATAAGATATTTTTAAAATTTCAAAATATGTTTCTTTAACAGGTTTCTATAATCCAGGAACTTGTTACTAATTATGAAGCCTCTCTTAAAACGTGTGACTTTTTTAGCCCATATGGTAAGTTTAAATTAGATTGAATTGGAATCTGATTACTCATTTCATTTTTAATCACAGTAATGCTCTTTTATGTATATTTTGTGTATGCTACCTAATGGCTACTTAATAAATTGGTGAATGAAATGAGAGCACTTTCAATCTTACTTAATTTAAATTTTCCATAATCCTGTGAGATGGGAGTTAACCTTGTGCGTTTTTGTTTGTTTGTTTTTGAGACAGAGTCTCGTCCTTTCGCCCAGGCTGGAGTGCAATGGCACAGTCTTGGCTCACTGCAACCTCCGCCTCCTGGGTTCAAGCGATTCTCCTGCCTCAGTCTCCTGAGTAGCTGGGATTACAGGTGCCTGCCACCACACCTGGCTAAGTTTTGTATTTTTAGTAGAGATGGGGTTTCACCATGTTGGCCGGGCTGGTCTCGAACGCCTGACCTTGTGATCCACCCGCCTCAGCCTCCCAAAGTGCTGGGATTATAGGCGTGAGCCACCACACTTGGCCTTAACCTTGTTTTAACATGAGGAAACAGACTTGAGAGGTTGAATGGCTTGCCCAAGACCATGTAGTTAGTTTATATTGGAACCTGTTTTTCCTGAATCCCTAAATTCTCTGCTTTTTCTACCCTCTTACTACTTTTAATCCTGTTAGGTAGGTCCTTTGTTTCTATATTTGTAGAGGCATATATAAATCAAGGCAGCTTACTTTAGAAAACACTCTGTGATGTTTTCAATCATGCACATGGTAACTTCCAGGTTCCTTATGTGTCCCTTACATGTCATTACTCTTTGAGTATTTTTCTAATGTTTTTTGAGAGACGGGGTCTCACTGTTGCCCAAGCTGAACTTCTGGGCTGAAGTGATCCTCCCACCTCAGCCTCCTGAGTTGCAAGGACTACAGGCATGTGCCACCACCTGGCTAATTTTGTGTGGAGGGGGGATGGGGGTGGGCGTGGGGTGGGGGGGTTTTGTAGAGATGGGATTTTGCCATGTTGCCCAGGCTGATCTTGAACTCCTGAGCTCTAGCGATCTGCCTGCCTCAGCCTCCCAAAGTGCTGAGATTACAGGTGTGAGCCGCCACACTCTCTTTGAGTTTTTTAAAGGCACATTCCAGACTTACTGTTTCATCTGTAAATACCTTAGTGTGCATCTGTATTTAAAACACTTAAACAGAAGAAGTCATCGCAGTGCTATGTCACACAAAACCTCATAACATAATATCTGATACCCAGTCTGCATTCAGATTTCCCCCATTATCCAAAAGAAGTCTTTGTGTTTGGTTTGAGTATGGATCCAGTAAAGGTTCACACCAAATATTTGGTTATTATGTCTCCATAATTTGATTGTTATGTCTCATTATTTTAATCTAGAACAATAACTCTCCCCTCCCTTTCAAAAAAAAACAACAGTGATTTGTTGAAAGGTCATTTGTCTTACATATCCCATATTCTGGATTGGTTGATTGCCTTTTCTCATGGTATCATTTTCTGTATTTCACTGTCATTCATACTTCTTGTAAGTTATAGTTAGGTTTACATGCTGGATTAGATTCAGGTTCTGTTTAAACACGGGTGGTGCTTTGTATTTCCTGTTGTGTCATATCAGGAAGCTTGAGACATTCTGGTTTTCTCTCTTTTTTGATGTTAACATTGATAAAGATTCAGATGTTGTCAGCCTGTTATACTCATTAAAAAGATCCATGACAGCGGAGGGGGTGGCATGGTGGCTCCACACCTGTGATCCCAGCACTGTGGGGGTTGCTGAGGCAGAAAGATCTCTTGAGGCCAGGATTTGGAGGCCAGCCTGGGCAACAAAGTGAGACTCTGTCTCTACAAAAAATTAAAATGTTAGCCAGGTTCGGTGGTTCTCATCTGTAGTCCCAGCTACTTGTGAAGCTGAGGCATGAGGATCACTGGAGCCTAGGAGTTCCAGGCTACAGTTAGTTATGATCATGCCACTACACTCCAGCCTTGGTGACAGAACAAGACAAAAATTCCTCATTGGCCTCTCAGCCATTGAAGATCATTGCCTAGATCTGTTGTTGATTGTAGTAATTTCTTCTGCATTTGTTAGCTGGATTTTTTCTTATAAAGAACTTTCCTTCATCAAATACTTGGTTCCCTTGAAATATAGTTTATATAAGAGGAACAGAATGGATGCTTAACTCATTGCCTTTATTTTATTATTTGTGTTTTAATGTGTGCTATTGTATGTTTACATTATCATGTCATTTGGTCAGCTATGTAGGAGACCTGTTTGTTTTGATGTAGTGTGGGTTTATTCACTCTTTCCTCCTCATTTTTACACCAGTATGTCTTCCTTTCTGAAATCCATTTTGAGAGCTTGGTATATCTTTCATCTGCTCCTCTGTAGTTAGAGGGTACAGGATGGGGAACAGGATAGAACTCAGATAAGTGTATGTATATGACTGCTTTTTTAAGAGGACTGGGCTGTGTTTTTTCTACTTAGGTTTTTGTCAGATGGCAGGGTTGTTGCTACTTTGTCAGGTGTGTCTTTTTCCTATAGGTCATAATCTTCAACTTTGGGTATCCCTGATTTAGTATTGAAGCCTGGAAAATGGTAAGCCATGGCAGTTTGGCAGTTCTTGCCTCTGCCGAAATCTTGCAGTGGTAGTTAGGAAATCTCTTTGCCAAGTTATTTTCCTTGACTTTTTCCTGGTCTTGCTGCCCTTTTGCTTTCAGGCTGAGAGTTCACAGAATTAGATTGATGTATGTCTTTTCCCCAGCATTGTTTCTTTGGAGTGAGATTGGGGTTAGAAGCCTGTCAAAGTACAATCTTGTTTCTCTACGTGGCTACCACTTTTTGAATTTTATGAAGTCATACCTCTTTATTTTGAAATTAGTTTTTGCTGAGTTTTTCCTGCTTGTTATTATTGCAATAGTCATTAATTTCATTATGAGTTAGGAGAGAGAAAGTATGCAATTTGCTTTACATTCTTCCTATAATAATTTAATATTTGTTTGATTGCAGAGGATGGGGAGAAGGAACCCCCGACAACACTACTTTGGGTTCAGTATTTCCTGGCACAGCACTTTGATAAACTTGGACAGTATTCTCTGGCTTTGGATTATATTAATGCTGCAATTGCTAGTACTCCAACTCTAATAGAATTATTCTATATGAAGGCAAAAATTTACAAGGTAAAATCAGAATCCTGCTTTTTGAGTAGTTGAAGAATTCAGCTACTTTAAGAATCTTTGGAGTTTTTTCTTTGTGGAAATAAGTTCTAGGGCACCCTGATAATCTTTTTCTAATAATTCTGAGTAGTTTCATGTTATATTAATTGTATAATCGGTGTGTAATTAGATGTGTAATCATTTGAGCTCTTAGTAAGTGTGAACTGTAATTTTGATTTCTAAATAAATTTGACAGAAATGGTGACAGATTTCTTTTTGGTCTGTGTAAATTATTTTCCATTTTATTGTACTCATATTCTCTTGATTATAAATTGTGGTTCCTTTAATTATCTTTTGTAGCATATAGGTAATCTCAGAGAAGCTGCAAAGTGGATGGATGAAGCACAGTCTTTGGACACAGCTGATAGATTCATCAATTCCAAATGTGCAAAATACATGCTTCGAGCAAATATGATAAAAGAAGCAGAGGAAATGTGCTCCAAGTTCACAAGGGTAGGAAATAGCATACATGAACATATAATTGTCTAAATTAAGACGATTTGTGAAGTTTGCCACTGAAGTTCATAAAAATTCATTTTTGTTATTATTTTTTAAATCCCGTTTAACCCGTATCCTAAGAATGGTTTCTTACTGTGGTTGTGTATCTGTGTATGTGTATCTGGCAGGGGATGGTTAAACAATAGCAAGAGCAAAATATCTTGGTACATATATAAACAGTATGCCATACTTTAGCACTTACGTGTAAAATTTGATTTATATCTCAAATTCTTTGTCCCCCTAGTAATTTGTGACTGCTTTTTAATTCTGTCTTACTTTTTACTTGCTCATAGAGTTCTTTCTTTGTAGAACTAATTGCTGTGAACTAGTCTTTGTGACATTCAGGAATTTAAGTTTCCTGAGATGGGCTACACATCCATCCCTTTTCCCTCCTTCATGATTCCTTTATATCCTTTTCCACATAGACTTTCTGTTATAATACATGTTTATGGTTAAAAATATAAGTAGACTAATGAACAGAGTAGAAAGCTCAGAAGCAGATTTCACACATATTTGGAAAATGGGATATACCCAGAGATACCATAAAAATCAGAGATGAAAAGATATTGCTGGGACAATTAGTTACTTCTATTGGGGAAAAAACCCGCCAATATCCCTCTCTGTCACTGTACATGAATCAGTTCCAGGTGGATTAAATATCAAATATGGAAAGCAAACCATTCATACTTATAGAAGAAAATATATAGGAGTTTATCTTTAGGATAAACTAATTCTAATATAATCTAACATAATCTAAAATTTTGCTGTACACAATCAGTTCCAAGATCAAATATGGAAAGCAAACCTTTCCAGCTTATAGAAGAAAATATATATGAGTTTATCTTTAGGATAAAGAATCATTCTTTATGCTTGAGGTAGGAAGCATTTCTTGACACCAAAAGCATGTAAAGTAGAAGAGAAAAATTGAACTGGGCATGGTCGCATGTGCCTGTAGTCCCAGCTACCACATGGGAAATAGCACTAAGTTCAAAATCTTCAGTGCCCTTTCCACTATATCACAGGTTTGAAATTAAGAAGAGAGTACAAGGAATAAACATAAAACCAATTATGTTTTCAGAGAAAAGTACCACATGGAAGGCCAAGGTAGCGATCAGAAGTAAAATACAATTAAATATGAAGTATACAGGTTGAGCCTCCCAAACCTAAAATCCAAATTCCAAAATGCTCCAGAACTTGAAACTTTTTGAGCACTGGTATGGTGGTCAATGCTCATTGGAGCATTTTGGATTTTGGGTTTTTGGGTTTGGGATGCTCAACCAGTAAGTATAATGCAAATATTCCAAAATCGAGAAGGTTTGCAACATTTCTGGTTCCAGACATTTCTGATAAGTGATACTAAATCTAGTGATTTTTAAGAAAACAAAAAAACCCAGAGATACTGGGATGCGACTTTAAAGGCACAGGAGAATGAGAAAGAAGGTGAGAGTTGGTTATTTAAGGAGAGTAGTCACCAAAATCTGTGGCTCGACTTGCTCATCATAACTGCGTCTGATCATCCACTTTTGACAAGTTGCCATGCTATATGGCAAGGTTGTTCACTTTATCCACACTAGTTTGTTGGCCAGGCAAATCCATAATGTGTGATGAACAACATAATGAGGCAGGGGAAGAAAACTGCAAATGACCTGGAATAATCAGGATATATCTGCTTGCTAATAAATGAGTGAAGGGCGCATATTTCCTTCTCGCAGATTTTTCAGTTTAGAATTTTTGTACAGAGTTGCTGATGCATGTTGGATAGTTCTAGTTGATAAACTTTTTGAAATGAAAAGTAATACATTCCTCTTATAAAAATATGTGGCCATTAACAAAATGGAAAATACAACACAACCATAGTGAAGACAGAAAATACATCAACATTTCTCTTCACCCAGAGATAACTAATTTTTAGACTTTTAATGTGTTCTGAAAATTGAACTGATACACAAAATGTGAGTAAAAACTGTAGCCTGAAATCATCTATGTAAGTGTACCTTTGCCATCGTTTCCTGGGGTCAAAATATATTTTAAATGTCTCTTCTAAACTGTGACAAAACTTGAGTATCCTTGCACTTAATATTGGTTAATTTATGTCTCACACTCCTCTCAAAATTTTTATTGAGCCTGAATTAACAAATTCAGTTATTTGGTTTTGTCAGCCCACTGCAAAGGAGAAATATTAAAGTAGAAGAGTTGGCATGAAACAGGAGATGCTGATAGAAGCAGACACACGGGCACAAAGAAAGTGACAATGGAGGAGGGACACTGGGAAACCAAAAAACAGGCCTGCAACTATTACTAACAGATTTGACAAATACTGAATATACATAACAGTGACCCCGAGTCAGCAAGGAAGGCTGAAATAGCTTTTGCTTGAAGGGAGAAGATAGACAATACTTCATATGACACTTTCTTAAATAGATGAAATAAAAACTTTGGTGTTTGAAAAACTAAGATTTAGTAATTTGGAGTCTTTTCTATGAAGAGTGTTGAATACCCCAGCAGAGCTGGGTAAATAAGACATCATGTATATGTGTGTTTTCCATCTGATAACTGAGATGGCTCCTAAGTGACAGGTCGGTAGCAGACAGTGTGGATGTACTAGACAAAGATGATTCACGTCCCGGGTGGGATGGAGTGGGACGGTGCAAGATTTTATCACAATACTCAGAATGGCATGCAGTTGAAAACTTACGAATTGTTTATTTCTGCAGTTTTCCCTTTAATATTTTTAGACCATGGTCGACTGTGGGTAACTGAAACCATGGAAAGCGAAACCTTGGATAAGGGGAGACTATTGTAATGTAAAACCATGTTTGGAAACATACTGATATATTTGCTAATTGCTGCTATTGTCATGATAGTACTGTAGCCCTAGTTGTAAAGAGGAAATTATTTTTAGGATCTGTTTCATTGTTGCTCTCTATAGTTTTGAATGCTTCCATTTCAGGAAGGGACATCTGCCATGGAAAATCTAAATGAAATGCAGTGTATGTGGTTTCAGACAGAATGCATTTCAGCTTATCAGCGTCTGGGGAGATACGGGGATGCCTTGAAAAAATGTCATGAAGTAGAAAGGGTAAGTTGTTAGAATTTCGACTTCAGTTTTCTCTGTAAGGTGATAAAAAGCAGGTAGATTTCTACACGGGATCATCTGCCTCTTCTAACTTCTCTGGGAGCTTCATTGTGAAAAAAATTCTTGATCTTTAACCTTCTTTACATTCAGAAGTTGTAAACAGTGGATTGCTTTATTGATCCTCAAGTGATTATGCTTTTGACATGTCTATATATTTTTGTCTGGAGGAAAAAGATTGTTAGTAAACTATTATTGCTATTAACATAAATTCAAAATTTCTGTTCCCTAATTAGGCCATTATTTGATATTCATCACCACCCTAAGAGGACACACAGCTGATGGCAACCTCTTTCCCCTTTAAAACATCAGGATCTGGTCCGCAGTCAGCCTCTCTCCAGTTTGTCTTCCCAGGATATTTGCTCTCACATTCAGTATTCTGTATAACAATCTATGGCCAGTTTGCAGGCTTATTTTATTGCTTGCTTTTAGGATTATGTGTGTGATGTGCCTTAGTGAGGGGACTTTTCTTTTCCTTTGTGTGAATTTTTGTTTTCCTGTTCTTTGTCATCTCTGAAGCACTCTCCTTCCACATGGACCACAGGAGGAAAAGAGCCGCAAATGCACCCCTGAGGCAGTCCTCAGCAGCCCTCAGTTGTGGGGGCAATCGGCACCACTGTTCCCATCCTGACGCAGTATAGAACCACAGGCATCGTAGTCAGGTGAGCCTGATGTCTGCACCGTGGCAGTCACTTTGGCCTTTTTCCCATGTGAAACTTCTGAGATTACCCACAAGGAAGTCTAAATTTTAGGGGGTGGCTTTTGATGGGGACTGGAACTAGGATTATACCCAAGCATTTTTAGAAATAACCTAATTTTCGCTGTTTTTGTTTTTTGTTTGTTTGTTTTTCATGCCCTTTTAAGCCTGGGCTTGATGGCTGCATCTCTGGGGAAAATCCTCCTCATCTCCTTGAAAAATATGAAGCCCTTGGGATGATAGGTGAAATATCCAAGCATTCTAGTTAAATCAGGCTCTTGTTTCCTTGATGAAACCGCAGATCACTAGGTTGTTACACTCCCTAGAGGACCATTATTTTAAGAGCATTCTGCTTGTTATTAAGGAAAGATACATTTTTATTAACTAGGACATTCTCAGTGAGAAGTAAATTGTTTCCCTTATGAAGAGGCTGCTATAGGCACTTAGGAATTAGTAATTCAGCAAGACCATAACTAGAAATTTACCAGATTTTCTGTTTAAATGAAATTTGAATATCCTAAGGATCATTATAGTTCTGAACTTCTTGAACTTAAATTTGATTTCTTCTAACATTGATGACTATATTGCTTTATTCTTTTTAATTTTGAGAATTTTTAGAATATGATAAGTAGATCTTCCATGACTAAGTTTCATTTAGATTACGCTTTCCCTTAAATTTTTAGTGATTTTGGCTGAGTTGCATGGAAAAAAATTCCGTAATGTCAGAAAATCTACTGACATAGTTCAAGAAATTAAGTGGTAAAAAGCATTTTTGAAGAAAGAAACTATAGGAAAATCATTGGTTGTCATAGATTAAAATGGCAGAAATCATCACCCTCTGGTCATGTTACATAATTATTGTCGCTGGAAGCTTTAGGGTTTACTGTTAACATTTGAGATAAGAAAGAAGTAGAAACATTAGAAAAGAACCTACTCTTATGCCACTTGTAAGCTAGTCTAAAATGAATATATCCATACTAAAAGCAAATAAGGCATCTCTTTTGTAGATACTATGTATATTCTACATGTGTGGTTATATGTAGAAACGTGTTTCGTATAAATAGGGTGACTAAATAGGTTGATGGAATGATTAATGCTTAATTTCTAATATCTAAAATTTCTAATATCTAAAATTCTTAATGATAAAATTGTAAGGATTTAGGAATAATTACAAGCTTCAGATTTATTATAATAGGTATCTACATGAGTTACCTTATGCCTGGGTTTTAAATATTTTAATAAGGACACGTACACCTTTCAGAAATAAAACTTTGCAGTTTACCTTCTAAATAGAAGGTTAGTGAATTGTGAAATAAGTTCAAATAAAGGTTTGGTCTTTATTCTGCTTTGAAGAAGTCATTCAGGAGTTCTTTTGTTGAAGGCAGTTTCAGCCAGGATACATACTGCTTTGAGCTCTTAGTAATTGGATTTGAAAAGTTGGAATTCTAGAATAAGCTAGTGTAGTATATTTTCTGTTTTCATCTTGCCCAACCTCATAAGATTTTAGGGTTATATTTTAAGGTTTTGTAGTCCAACCCAATCTGACGTTTGAAACTTGAGTTTTATTAAAACAAAACGTTCTTCAAAATGTTAGATTTAAACTTGTGTTCAGAATAACATTTGAACCTATTTTATCTTTCAAGAATTGGGTTTTCTTTCTTTCCATTTTTTTTCTTTTACTGTTAGACTTCTGGTGATTGGATTATCATTATTTTAGAGTGCTGACTTAGATATGAAACAGGGCAACAATATATATATTTCTAATTCTTTAATAAGACCTAGGACTTCTGATAGATCTAAACATAGGAAGATCATAACTTTGTCTTCTACTGTATCTTAATCTTTATCAAATTGACAACATGCTTTATAACAACAGATTCTCTATTAAGTAAATTGAGTTGCTTATTTTCCTAGTTGACCTAGTTATTTTTTAAATCCAGAGGTTTTTGTTGCCTCTCTTTGTGTAAGCTCTTACTAGTCACATCTGGGAACCCTGAGAGGTAGTGGGAAGGAGAATCTGGGCTAGGAGAGAGGTCCTAACAGAGCGAGACTCTGTCTTAAAAAAATAAATAAATAAATAAAATAAAAATAAAAAAGAATGGCTTTTTTTTTTTTTTTGAGACAGAGTCTCGCTCTCTTGCTGGGGCTGGAGTGCAGTGGCGCTATCTCGGCTGACTGCAAGCTCCGCCTCCCGGGTTCTTGCCATTCTCTTGCCTCAGCCTGGCGAGTAGCTGGGACTACAGGCGTCCGCCACCACACCTGGCTAATTTTTTTGTCTTTTTTAGTAGAGACGGGGTTTCACTGTGTTAGCCAGGATGGTCTCAATCTCCTGACCTCGTGATCCGCCCACCTCGACCTCCCAAAGTGCTGGGATTACAGGCTTGAGCCACCGCGCCCGGCCTGAACGGCTTTTCTTAATTCTTGCTTAGGGGGAGAGAGTTAAGAGCATGAGCTGTGTGTTAAGATTTGAATACTTAGTTTTCTGCAGTGAGCTAAGTGATTTTTATCACGCCCTTCATGTTTGGCCAAAAGGTACAGGGAAACTAACTTTATCTGTTGATGTTGTGTAGCATATTTTTGTGTTTTGAGACTGAAAAATCAACCCAAGGGGGAGCTTCATGGTGATGGATTAGTTCTGTTTCTTATGGTAGTGGTTACATGAATCTACAAATGATAAATCACATAGAACTATACACACATTGTACCAATGTCAGTTTCTTGGTTTTGATACTGTATTGTAGTTACGTAGGCTATAACCTTTGGGGGAAACTGAGGGAAGGATATACACCTTTGCTACTTCCTCTGTATCTATAACCCCAAAGAAAAAGTTAAAAAAAATTCAACCCAAGATTATTTAGTTGTTTCTATATAGTGTTCTGCAATATACCGTTTTTTCAAAAGCAAATATTATAATCAGCTGTGGCTGCAGTATCCCACTTGTTTTTAATGTAGCCATATTCTGTCTATCACCATTAGTTTGTTATGGAGTGATTAACAAGCCAGGTTTGCTTGAGGCTGAGTGGGTTCCCAAGACACAATGCTTTCAGTGGAAAAACTGAGAGAACCTCTGGCAAACTAGGATAAGTTGGTCACCCAATTTATGGAAGACATTAACTGGAGAGAGGCAGCCTATGGGCTGTTACTGATAAAGAGGTGGCTTAAATATTTGTGGTTACATACGGCCCCCTCCAAGACTTGACTTAAAATCTGTATTAATGCTGCTAGGAATATCTCTTGAAGTTTGTCATCTGCCTTTTTCAGATGTTTCTCAACCTAAAAGAATGTCCTGTAATCTCTTAGATGTTTTCATCTGATTATGTGTTCCAGGACTTTAGCGCCGCCTTTTTTCTTTAGTTAACTGTATTGAATTTTTAAAATATTCTTGTGCTAGTTATAACTTGATTTACATTAAGAGAAACCACTAACAACTTTATGAAATATGTAATCCTTTGATTTTAAAAAAAAGTTCATGTTAATATTTATGATTTCATTTTATTGGTGGGAAAGATGCAGTTTTCAAATATAACATCATTAAAGCGTGGCTTTTTAGTCATAAACTAATGTGAAATGTTCACTTTTTCTGTTTCTTGCCCTCCATACTGTGTATTTTTATTCTTGTTATAATTTTTCTCTTAAAGTCTCAGGTACTTAATGTAATTCTGTATATAGTGTGTTTCTAATTACCAAGATAATTATCAGATGATTATGGATAATTACTAATGTGTCCTCTGCACAGTGACTTAACTATCCCCAGGACAGAGGGAACATGAACTAGTAGGAAAGCTTGATCTATATTGGTGTATTAAATCACTCATTTTTCTATATGATTTTGGAAAAACTAAAGTATAAAAAAAGAAGTCAGAGATGGAAATGCATGCAAGGGAAACAGTACAAGTGTAAGATTGTTTTGTTGGGGGAGGGGCAGGGGGTTAGTATTCACCTTTCATGGAAGGGATTAGTTCTGAACCTCGTTTGGCCATGGATCCATTGGAAATTGGATGAAAGCTTTTGAGCTCTCTCCTTAGGAAGAAGTTTTTATACTTGTTTATATATAGATTCCAGTTTCAGAACTTCTGCTAAAATGGAATGTAGGTAGTTAATGGGAGCTTATTGAGTAAGAGAAAACCATCAAGTTCTATATTTATGTAACAGTTTACTGTTGAAAATGAACTTTAAAATACATTATTTGATCCTTTTAACAACCTTAAGAAATTGGCTGTATGCATTTCTTTATTCTTAACTTAGATTACATAATTAAGGGTCTAGGAAATTAAATGGCTAATTCAAGATCTCATCCCTAATAAGAAGCTTATCTCTTGAGTGGGCAAATACTGTGCTTATTAAATGTCTGCTATGTATTAGGCCCTGTGGCAGGCAGTGGGTAAGGATTGCCCTTGAAAAGCGTAGAGTTGAGTAGATTTGTAAATATTTAGTGTGAACCTACACATATTTAGTCTTCATTTAGAGCTCTGTTTAACTGTGCCATGCTGGTTTTTAGGGAATATGGAGGAAGAGTATTTCATTAAAACTAAAACATTAATATATACTAATTTTCAGGTTAAAAAAATAACCTGATCTTTTGACTTATATAGAAGTTGAGTATCATCACAAAACATGATTTGTAGGGAATGGGCATGGTTTGTAGGAAGAGAAAATTCAAGTCGAATGCAAAAAAAAATTCATATCCTTTATAGTGTTAAACATTGGAGAGGGCAGCTAAGTGAAAATTGTGACTGTTTAAATTTTTTTTTGGGCTTTTTACAATTTTTTTTTCACAAGGTAGACATTATTGACATAAATGTAAAGGTTAATTTTGTGATTTTTGTTTTTAAGCATTTTTTTGAGATAACCGATGACCAATTCGACTTCCATACATACTGCATGAGAAAGATGACCCTTCGTGCCTATGTTGACCTTTTGAGATTAGAAGATATACTCAGAAGACATGCCTTTTATTTCAAGGCTGCTAGATCAGCGATTGAAATATACTTGAAATTGTATGATAATCCCTTAACCAATGAAAGCAAACAACAAGAAATAAACTCAGGTAACTGAATAGGAACTTAAAAGATTTTAAAAGGACACTAAATTTCAGAATGCCATTAGCATACACAACACATAGAAAAATATTAATATATTGTCTTTGGAGTTGAAGACAAACATTAGATAAGTCATATGCCAAAAAACAAAAATGTTGCGGAGAGAGTTGAAAAAAGTGGGATGATATTTTGTAGCTGATGCTTCTAAATTAGTTTAATGGAATAACTTAGAATTCTTTTTGTTTTTATTGTCTGAAAGACCAATTTAGGAACTGGGTGTGGTGGGTTCACACCTGTTATCACAGCACTTTGGGAGGCCAAGGCAGGCAGATCATTTGACGCCAGGAGTTCAAGACCAGTCTGGGCAACATAGCATTACCCCTGTCGCTACAACAATTTTAAAAAGACAAGTTTAGGAAACATAGATATGTCTGTGAACTAGTTTTTTTCTTTCTTTTTTAAAAAATTGTAACTGAAAATAGCTTTGAGCTCTTTCGGGAAAAATATATAATCTTAAAATTTCTAGTACCTACTTTATTAAAAATAATATCAGAATATCTGTACAGTGTTTTCACTAGAATGTTAATATCTAGGAATATTTGAGAAATAGCATGAAATGTGCCTAGATAACTATCTCAAATATTCCTAGGTATTCATTTCTAATATATAGTGTTTAGAGATCACAGGTGTTTTTATGTATTCTCACTTATTCTTGAAAGACTTGATACTGAAAAGGATAAAGTGATTTGCCTGGAGTCATGTATTGTGTAGGAGGCAGAAGTGGGCTACAATTGGTCAATTTTAGTTAATGCAACATTTACTGGCTATCCTTTGTGTGCCCAACTTTGTGCTAGTCACTGGGGATACACTTTCTAAAAACTTTTATATGGGTTGCCTCTGCGTCCCTCCTTGCCCAGCCAAAAAAACAGAAAAAAAAGTATACAACTGGCCCTCCATTTTTTTGGGTTCCACATGGGTGGATTCAATCAACCATAAATCAAAAATATGTTTTTTTAAATTGCATCTCCACTGAACATGTCCAGACTTTTTTCTTGTCATTATTAATATTTCCTGAACAATGCAGTATAACAACTGTTTACATAGCATTTACATTATTTTAGGCATACCTATAGACCATAATATAATTTATGAAAAAGTGAAATCATTATATGCAACTTAAAGCAAAAGGAAGGTGAAAGATTTAAAAGCTGATCTAATTTAAAGTATACGGGAGGATGTGCATAGGTTGTATGCAAAGACTGTGTCATTTTATATCACAGGCTTGTGTATCAGTGGATGTTTTGGGGTGGGGGGGGTTGGGGGTCCTGAACCAATTGCCCACTGATACCAAGGGACAACCATACTAACAGTATGTATTACAGAAGAATATGAGGAAAATGCAAACATTGACTCAGAATTTTTGTTCATTTGGATATTTATAGAAAACCTGTCAGCCAAAGAATTGAAGAAAATGCTTAGCAAGCAGAGAAGAGCCCAGAAAAAGGCTAAGCTAGAAGAAGAAAGAAAGCATGCAGAAAGAGAACGTCAACAGAAAAATCAAAAGAAAAAAAGAGATGAAGAAGAAGAAGAAGCCAGTGGCCTTAAGGAAGAACTTATACCTGAAAAATTAGAAAGGGTGAGATGGGTTTTACTGTCTTTGTTATTTGGTAAAATTTATTTTATTTGGTTCTGTTCTGACAGTTAACATGATTTATTTAAATCTGTAAGAAGCCATTTGAAATATTTCAAGGTTTTAACAATAGCTGTCAATTATCTTTGAGTGACAATGTACAAATTTTGGCTAATGCAGGTTGTACATAGAATTGTAATGGTAGTAGGCAAAGTAATGGCCCTGCAAAGGTGTCTGTGTTCTGATCCCCCCAACCTGTGAATATGTAACCTTACATGGCAGGGGAGAATTAAGGTGGGGGATGGAATTTATGGTTGTAATGAATTGACCTCAAGATAGAGAGGGTAGCCTGGATTGTCCATGTGGTCCTAATATCATCAAAAGGGGCCTTAAAAGTTGAGGATGCTAGCAGCAGAGGTCAGAATGATGCAGTGTCAGGAGGACTCAACCTGCTGTTGCTGGCTTTGAAGATGGAAGGAGGGTGCCACAAGCTTAAGGAATGTGGGCAGTCTAGAGAAGCTAAAAAAGGCATTGAACGGATTCCCGTTTCAAGTCTCCAAAGAGAATGCAGTCCTGCTGACACCTTGATTGTAAGCCCAGTGAGACCCATGTTGGAATTTTAACCTATAAGAACTATAACATAGTAAGTTGTTTTAAGTCACTAAATATTTGTTAATTTGTTACAGCAGCAGTACAATTGTCCATTACATATGGAATCATTTTACCTTATATGTCTTATTAGAAATGTTTTAGCTACAAAGAGATAGTACCTCCAGGATTTTCTCAAGTGTTAATAGTTGTTTTGAGATCAGATTTAAGGAAGTGTTTAGTTTTTTGGTTTATTCACTGTAAGTCTAATACAGTTGACCTTTGAACAACATAGGTTTGAACTTCGAGGGTCCAGCAAAGGACGGTTTGATAACTTTAGAAAGATGTTTGGCTTAAAAAATGTCCAGATAACATAACAATCAACTTCTCACCAAGAGCCAGCAGGGAAGTTTCAGATGCTATTGAGAAAATCCTTGAGGGGAAGGAGTATCTGCCTGAACAGATTTTTAATGTAGACAAAAAGTGCTCTATAACAGGGAAAAATAAAAGCCACAAAGGACATCTATTAGTAAGGAAAATAAGCGAACACCAGGATTTAAGGCAGGAAGGGATAAGCTAACTCTACCATTTTGTGCAAATGCAGTTGGGATTATGACCATGGCTGGCCTTATCTATAAAGCTACTAACCCCTGAGCCTTGAAGGGAAAAGATAATAGCTGTCAGTCTTTTGGTTTTACAACAAGAAGGCCTGGACAGTGAGAACCCTTTTTCTGGATTGGTTCCGTTAATGCTTTTTGTCTCTGAAGTGAGGAAGTACCTTGCCAGTAACGGACTGCCTTTTAAAGTTCTTTTGATAACTGGACAGAACCCCTGGCCATCCAGAACCTCATGAGTTCAACTCCAAAAGTGTATAAGTGGCCTACCTGACCCCAAACATGTCTCTAATTCCGCCTCTAGATTAGATTGGGGGGTCATAAGGACCTTTAAGACTCATTATGTCTGGTACTCTGTGGAAAGGATTTTCAGCGCTATGGAGGAGAACGCCAGTAGAACATTATGAAAGTCTGGAAGGATGACATCATTGAGGATGCCGTCATTTTTAACAGATAAAGCATTGAAAGCCATCAAACCTGAAACAATAAGTCCCTGCTGGTGTCCAGATGTTGTATACAACTTCACAGGATTTATGACAGAACCAATCAAAGAAATCATAAAAGAGATTGTGGATATGGCAAACAAAAAAAGTGGAGATGGCGGTAAAGGGCTTCAAGATTAGGAAACCTGGAGAAATTCAAGAGCTAATAAATGCCACCACAGAGGAGTTAATAGAAGGCAACTTGATGGAGATGAGTGCTTCCAAACTATTGCCAGATGCTGAGGAAGAAGACATAGAAGCAGTAGTGCCGGAAAACAGACGGACATTAGACATTCTGGCAGAAGAGTTCCGATTATTCAAGACTATTTTTGACTTTTATGACATGGACCCTTCTATGATACAGGCATTGAAACCAAAGCAAACAGTGGAAAGATTGGTACATCTTTGTACATTTGGCACATTGACACACATCTGTTAGCATTTGAAACATTTTTAAATAAATAAAAAAGCAAAAAAGAAATTATAGTGTACTTCCATAAAGTTAGATGGAATGTGCCTGCCTCTTCTGCTTCCCTTTCTACCTCCTACATCCCCGCCATCCTTGAGGTAGCAAAACCAGCCCCTCCTCTTCAGCCTACTCAACATGAAGACAAGGATAATGATCCACTTCCACTTAATGAGTAGCAAATATATTTTCTCTTCCTTATGACTTTCTTAATAACATTTTATTTTCTATATCTTACTTTATTGTAAGAATACAGTATATAATATATCATATACCATATGTGTTAATCAGCTGTTCATGTTATTGGTAAGGCTTCCAGTCAACAATAGGCTATTAGTAGTGAAGTTGGGAGAGTCAGAAGTTACACACAGATTTTCAACTGCATGGGGGAGGGTCAGCTCCCCTAATGCTCTTGTTGTTCATGGGTCAACTATATTATAAGCATTTTAAATTTTATTAACGTCTCTTTACTATTTGATGCCATTTTATTTGTCTCCTTACTTTAGATATGTATAGTATATAAGGGACTGTCAGTACATGATGTACCATCTCTTTAAGTCTGTGGAATAACTTTATGTATTTTTTTGTTTTAGTAAAATTATCTTGATTTTGTAGCCAGAAAAAAAGCTATTTCTGTTTTGAAAAGTATTGATTGTATACTTTGAATTTATTTACAGATGATTTTTAAATGTTTTCTTGTTTTTTAGTTTTATAAAGAAAGCCATCTAAATTACTTTAGACATATGTTAATATAAAATTTTAGGGGAAATTTGACTTGTGCTGATGTTTTTTAAGTAATTTTCCTTTCTGTTTCAAAATAGGTAGAAAATCCATTAGAGGAAGCCGTTAAGTTCCTTATACCTCTTAAGAACCTTGTTGCTGATAACATTGACACTCATCTGTTAGCATTTGAAATATATTTTAGAAAAGGTAATAAATAGTTTGAATTCAGTTTTTAATCTTTAATTATACTTGTGACCATATTCAGTGTAATCTTTGTCAGTTAGTTCTATTTTTGTTTCTTAGATTTCCATTTCAGCCTTCTACAAAGGCTCTTTTCCTTGGCTACTCAATACTTAAGTGGGTAATAAATTAGAATAGTACTATCAAATCCAGTGTAAGAATAGTTTGAACAATCATACAAATTGTCTACCTGAAGCAATTTTTTATGATTTTTCAAGCTTTTCTTTAGAAAGCCATAGTTGACTTTGATAGCCAGAGTCAACTTTAAATTTTGCTTAAGAGTGTTATAAAAAAGGTAGCATTTTGTTATTGGACTTAAGTGAGACTAAAATAAACTGAGGAAAATAACATGTAAGTATTAATGCTATTACTTTTGTATTTTTTCTGACACAGGCAAGTTTCTGTTAATGCTGCAGTCTGTCAAACGAGCTTTTGCCATTAACAGTAATAACCCGTGGTTACATGAATGTTTAATTAGATTTTCTAAATCTGGTAAGTATAAAAAAGGCCCATATTTACATTTATGATTTATATCATTTCTAAGGGGAGGCAATTGTTAAATCACTGTTGATCTGATAAATATTTGATAACCCTCTCTTTGTGAAGTAAAAAGCCCTGATTTGTATTTTCATGATACACATACTCTGATCATGGCCCGAGCTGTCAATGGGATGCTACTGAGAGAAGCAAATATAAGTTGTTTTACATTAAGCTGGTGGACATTAAAGAGATTTGCAATAACATAAAGCAAAATAAATAATAATTTACATAGTTAAATGAACATGTGTCTATAAAATAGACATGTTACCAGGAGATGGTAGAAATGAGTGCATTTGCTAGGATGTATTTATATTCCAAAGGAACAATAATTTTACTATGTAAAATCAAGTTTAATAATAAAGGGTTTTTGTTGTTGTTGTTTTTGAGACAGTGGAGTGCAATGGCATGATCTTGGCTCACTGCAACCTCCACCTCCCGGGTTCAAGCGATTCTCCTGACTCAGCCTCTTGAGTAGCTGGGACTACAGGCGCGTACCACCATGCCCGGCTAATTTTTTTGTTGTTAGTAGAGATGAGGTTTCACCATGTTGGCCAGGCAGGTCTCAAACTCCTGACGTCAAGTGATTCGCCCACCTCAGCCTCCCAGAGTGCTGGGATTACAGGTGTGAGCCACCGCGCCCGGTCATAAAGGGTTTTCAATAGGTTTTTTTTTTCCCCCGAAGGACAGATCAAAAACAAAAAATCCAAATGTTTTTGTTTTTATAGTGTCTAATCATAGTAATCTTCCAGACATTGTGAGCCAAGTTCTATCTCAAGAAATGCAGAAAATATTTGTCAACAAGGATTTGGAAAGTTTTAATGAGGATTTTCTGAAACATAATGCTACCTCTCTTCAGCATCTACTTTCAGGTTTGTATGTAGCCCCCAGGGTTAAAATGCCTATGGAAAAAGCGAACAAAGAGAAAGTTTTGACACCCCCAAAATTTAAAGCAAATGAACAGTACTTACTGTAAGTATGGGGAGAGAAATGTGGACAAATTTAATGTTATGTTCAATAATAGGGGAAACAGTGATGGATTCATAGGATGTAATATCAGATTTAAAGTGATGTTTATTTAAAGGGTTTGTAATAATGGGCAAATACTTTCATAATACATGTGCAGGATTGAACATACAATGTAATCTCAACTGTACATGGGAAAAAGGCTGAAAGGAAGTGTCTACGAAAGCTTTAATGTTGATTTGGGGTGTGTGGTTATGAATGATTTCTTTTTTCTTTTCTTTTTTTTTTTTTTTTTTGAAATGGAGCCTCACTCTGTCACCCAAGCTGGAGTATATTTTTTCTTCTAATTTATAGGAGAAATATAAACTGTGTTTTATTTTTTAAAATTTTACTTTGTTTTTGAATATGCAAACATTTTCCTGTTTTCCCCACCCCCACTCTCTTCCTCTGTGACAGTAATTCCTTAGATGTTTTATTTTAGAATATCTTTTTTCATAGTTTTGGCTAAAATACTGATTGATACCACAGGGCAGTCCATATTTACATTTTGAATTTTATTTCTAAGGGAAGGAAGTTGTTAAATCACTGTTCATCTGATAGATGTTTAATAACCATCTTTTTGTGAAGGGAAAAGCTCTGATTTGTAGTGTATTTTCATGATATAAATACTCTGATCATGGCCTAAGCTATCAATGGGATGCTACTAAATAGGAGGTAGGAAAGAAATGTCACACTTGGCTCTCATGAGCTGGTAGGAGCCAGCTCCAGCTTACCACTGTTTAAACACTTAAAACCATATTTTAAGTCACTGGCCACTTGATATCACATAAAATGTAAAGTATAGGTGTTTAATTCATTTTGAAATGCCTTGGTATTTCAGGTGCTAAAATGATGTATTTTCTGGACAAGTCAAGGCAAGAGAAAGCAATTGCTATAGCCACTAGACTGGATGAAACTATAAAAGATAAAAATGTAAAGGTAAGATTTTTTCATTGGCTGATTTATGCTTACACTGTGGTCTAACAAAACGTGTCTTTACAGCATAATTCTTAAGTAAGCCTTCAGAGTTACACCTGGATGTTCAGAGTTATGCCTGGATGTGTAACCTTAGGCAAGTTATGTCTCTTAGCTCTATCAGTTATGAGATGTGTAACTTTAGGCAAGTTATGTCTCTTAGCTTCTTTTTCCTCATTTTTCAGATGAGGGTGAAAATACTACTGCTCTCACAGAATCCATGTAAGAGTTAACTGAAATAATAAAACGTGAAGTGCTTATTATGCCTGGCACGTTGTTAAGTACTCAGTAAATGTGAGCTATTGTTAGTAAAGGACACTTTGATTTTTAGTGATCACAGTTTTAAAAGGTTCTGTTTTTCAGTTATTGGAATTTTACTGCCTTTTTCAGGGTTGATTTTTTAATGTGCCTTTTTTGAGGTGATCGCTTGCTGTGTAGATTGCAAGGCATTATTTTAGACTGGGGCAGCTTTTCTCAGTTTGATTAACACATTGCATCTTTTGATTAAAGTGGTTATTAATTGCGAGCTTATTATTTTTAAATAATTTGTGTTTTCCCTTTGTTTCACTAGACATTAATAAAGGTTTCTGAAGCACTGCTTGATGGCAGCTTTGGGAACTGTAGTTCCCAATATGAAGAATATAGGATGGCCTGTCATAACCTGCTTCCTTTTACATCTGCCTTCTTGCCTGCTGTGAATGAAGTTGACAATCCTAATGTGGCACTGAACCATACAGCTAATTATGATGTCTTGGCAAATGAAATTTGAAATCTCCTAGAAGGTAGACACCTATAGACTCAAAGCTGAATTGAGATCAGGGTTTCTTTTCCAGGGTGCATTTTAATACATGTATGAAATGAAATATTTGGTTAGGATTTTTAAATGGCATATTCTGTAAGCTTATTTTATTCTTTACCTGACCTGCCAATTTACACAACCATCTGTTAAAATTACCTGTTTGTTCTTACACAGTTTTGTGGTAGCTGTCGCTTCTATATGATAATTTCTTACTAAGCTAAGTTGTATACAACCCCACTGTATTATTTTCTTTAGATTCTGATTTCAGGATCTGTGCTTTGATTCCTCATCTGTTTGTTTTATTATTTGCTTGCTTTTTAATTAAAGTGCATCAGTTTTAAAGTGTTAACTATATGTTAAAAACAATATGGAGGCTGGCTCACACCTGTAATCCCAGCACTTTGGGAGGCCCAGATCGGCAGATCACCTGAGGTCAGAAGATCGAGATCAGCCTGGCCAACATGGTGAAACCCCTTCTCTGCTGAAACTACAAAAATTTAGCCAGACGTGGTGGCACGCACCTGTAATCCCAGCTACTCAGGAGCTGAGGCAGGAGAATCGCTTGAACCTGGGAGGTGGAGGTTGCAGTGAGCCGAGATCACGCCACTGCACTCCAGCATGGGCAACAGAGCAAGACTCCATCTCATAAAAAAGGAATTCTTCTTGGCAGATACTGAAGTTTATTTTAAAATTTAATTCGCCCTTTTTTTCATTGTAATATTTCGTGGTTTACTATTTCCTTTGTAGTATTCATAAAAATTGTATTTTCTGGTTGAATAGGGGTACTCTAGTTTTATGTAGATGATTTCAGAATGTGAAGGCTGTTTTGCCTGTCAGTCATGGAAATTCACTGGTAAAACTGTTGCATCTCTCTCCCAGTCTTAAAAGCCCACAGGCAAGAATTAATGCTTTCTTAACTAAGTTACTTCAGTGTTAACAAGTAGCTTATACTGAGGTATGCTTCAGGAGAGCATTATAGGGCAGAAAACAAATTAAAATGAAACATTATTATAGCCATGCATTGACCATTAAATGCATTTTTATATCTCAGCAGAATGAGATTTGAAACTCATTAGTTTAACTATTAAAACATAGTGTTGTTAAACAGTATTTTTGGGGGGGATGGGTGAATAGCTTTTTGTTCTATCTTGTACAGAAAACAGTAATGGAATCACTTATGTTCAGAACCTTGTAAATATGTCTGTAATATTAATGCTTCCCTTTATTAAGACAAATATACATTCAAAAAGGGAGATTTTATTTAGACACACGTTTTCTTTCACCCTAATCTATTTAGATTCATACTTTTTGCGACAGGAAAAACTCACTGTAAAATAATGCCAACGTAGATAATGCTATAATAAATTATTTTGTACACAGTTGCTTATTTATGTTTATGTTTGTGTTTTGTTACTGCTTCACACTACCAATATTTTCTGCAAAATATTCTTCGAGGAAGTAAAAACTTAATCACCTTAATCTTTTCAAGTTTTATAAAAAATGTAATTCTCAGTAACCACCTACCCAGTATATTTTTGTGCTGCAGTAGCTTGTCATTTAGTATTTTAATAATTTTGTAACTACAGATGATCATTGGCTTAGGATGGTGTAAGATTTTTCAACTCTACCATGGTGTGAAAGTGATATGCTTCAGTAGAAACGGTACTTCGAGTTTTGAATTTTGGTCTTTTCCTGGGCTGGTGATATACAATACAGTACTTTTACATAAGATACTCAGTATTTTATTGTAAAATTGGCTTTGCGTTAGATGATTTTGTCCAATTGTAGGCTAATGTCAGTGTTCTAAGCACATTTAAGGTAGGCGAGGTTAAGCTATGATGTTTAGCAGGTTAGGTATATTAAATGCATTTTTGATTTATGAAATTGTCAACTCACAACAGGTTTATTGAGACATAACCCTAGCATAAGTCGAGGAACATCTGTAGTTCATCTTTGTCAGAAGTATCCTGACACATACATAATTCATGTTACTTTCAGCAAAATGACATTTGCATAAAATATATCACTCATAATGTGGAAATTGTGCTTTCAGCGACAGCCTTTTAAAAAGTATTTCATTGGAGCCATTTAGAGTTTGAGAGTTCTGGGGCAGATGCAGTTGAGATGTGAGTAGTAGAATTTGAGGTACACATATGGGAGGCAAGGTAAAGGGATATGGAAATTAGTGAAAACAGTGTATTGGTCAGTATATACTGATTCTGTTCTTCCTGTCTGCGTTCTACTTCGAGTATAAAATAAACATCATAAACCTGGGGCATGGGCAGGAATCTTCGTTAGGATGAGGAAGGCAGGATGTGTCGTGCCTCTCCACCCTCTACCTTCACCATTCCCCCAACCTTGGGAGAGGCCTTTTTAGTCTCCAGAAAGTTAAAGGAGAATAGGCCAGCCCCAAAGGAGAAGTCTTTAGTCTCACAAGAAAAACGTTTCTTCCAGGTGATCCAGTCAAGTTTACCAGAACAGGTAGGAAAAGGCACAAAGATTCCAGGCATAGGGTGATAATTTAAGAATTTGGCCTCAGGTTTTCTGTGATTTGTTTCTTGAGGAACTGAATGAATGTAATGGGCAGAAGTCTACAGAGTCAAGAGCCATAGTAGATCTTGGATTGAGTTGTTAGCTAGAACAAGGGCCAGCAGACTTTCAGTAAGGGACCAGGCAGTAAATAGGCTTTGAAGGCCTCATACTGGTCTCTCACAATTCAACTCTGCTGTTGTACTGTAAAAGCAGCCTAGCCAGAACTAATGGGTGTGACTGTGTACCAATACAATTTTACTTAGAAACATAAGCTATGGGCCAGATTTGACTTTCAGGCTAGGCTGTAGTTTGTGGACCCTAAAGCTATAAAAGTTTCTGCAAAGTGAAATATTAGAAATACCTGTGAATTCAATTTTTTTCCTTCCTAAAGCCAGGATGACTTTTATGTATATATTGTAATCCAAGTATCTTGACACTTTGCTAGGTGATAGGACTCTCCTTTTGTTCAGTATGTTCATCCTAACAGTGTCTTTCATGTGCAAGGTACTTTTCTATAAGTTAAGGATTACAGGTGTTTTGCTGAGTGCCTTTTACATGCCAGGCAGTTTCCTATATGTCGAGGATAACTGAAAAATTCGACAAAATCACTGGAATTGCTCACATTCTAGTAAATTGTGATAAGAAGGAAAGAATCATTCAGTCTGTATTTGTTGAGTACTTATATTTCAGACACTGTTCTAGGTATGACAGATACAGTAATGAAGAAAATTAGGTCCTTATTCTCCTGGGGTTTATATTTCCAGTTGGGTGAGAGATGGAAACAAATACATAATATCAAGCAGTGATCATTTCTGTGAAGATAAGTCAGAGTATGAGTATAGATAGTAACATGGTTAAAGTGAAATTCAAGAATATCAAAAGTATAAAAACATAACAGAAGAAGATTACTCTCTAAGAGAATCAGTGACATCAGATTTCTCTAAAGCACTGAACGTAAGGAAATGGAAGGTTTTAGGCTGGGAGCGGTGGCTCACACTTGTAATCCCAGCACTTAGGGAGGCTGAGGCCGGCAGATCACCTGAGGTTGGGGGTTTGAGACCAGCCTGACCAACACGGAGAAAGCCCGTCTCTACTGAAAATACAAAAAATTAGCCAGGCGTGGTGGCACAGGCCTGTAATCCCAGCTACTTGGGAGGCTGCGGCAGGAGAATCACTTGAACCCAGGAGGCGGAGGTTGTGGTGAGCCGAGATTGCACTATTGCAATCCAGCCTGGGCAACAAGAGTGAAAATCCATCTCAAAAAAAAAAAAAAGAAAGAAAGAAAATGGAAGGTTTTTAAAAAGCATTGAAGAAAAATAACTTTGAGTTTTAGATTTAAATCCAATTAAATTAGCTTTAGACTGTGACAACACGTTAAAAATACTCATGCATATGAATCTCAGAAGATGTAACATACCAAGATCTTCATGGAAAATACTTTTGGAGCAATGTTAAATACAACAAATAGAAAATAAGATGGCAAAAAATCTGATGTAGCACTAGTTACAATAAACGTTGATTAGACGTTAGCCAATTAAGACTCAGATTCTCAAGCTGTATTAAAAGTTCTTTACAAGATGCATACTTGAAAGCAAAAATTGAGATAAAAGACTGGCAACACAAGGCTGATAGGAACTAGAATAAAGTTGAGATAATAGTCCAAATAGAATTTAATGCAAAATATGACACATTATACATTGGTTTTAAAAAATACAACAAAAAAAGATACAAACCATCATTAACTTACATGCACTTGCAACCTCAAAGTATATCAAGCACCAGCCTGGGCAACATAGCAAGATCTAATCCCAGCTACTTGGGAGGCTGAGATTGGAGGATCACTTGAGCTCACAAGGTTGAAACTGCATGAGTTGTGATCGTGCCACTGCACTCCAACCTGGGTGACAGAATGAGACCATGTTTCACAAAGTTAAGTATATCAAGCAAAAACAGACAACTGAAGACAAAAATAGAAATGCCAACAATGTAGTTGAGGATCGTAATACGCCCCTTTCCCTCTCAACTGGAAGATAAAGCAGACAACGAAAAAGCAGAGTAGAGTTGCTGAAGGTACAATTAGCTTGAGCTAGTATTTATACAGAAGTCTACACAAGCTGGGTGTGGGCACACACACCTGGAGTCCCAGCTAGGAGGCTCATGGGGGAAGATTGCTTGAGCCCCAACAGTTCAAATCTAACAAGACCCCATCTCTTTAATAATAATTAAAAATAAAAATAATAAAACCTCTACACAAAATAGAGTGATTGAAAGAGTTTACTGTTTTTAAGTAGGATGGTCCAAGAAGGCCTGTCTAATGAAATGAAATTTGAACAGATATCTAAATGAAGCCAGCTTTGCAGATCAGATATTTAGGGGAAGAGTGTTCCAGAAGGACTAGGAGGGGCAAAGGTCTTGAGATGAGAATAGGTGACCTGGTGGCAATATTCAAATAGCTGCACATATTAAATGTATGCAATTTGTTAAGTTTGGACATATGCAAACACTGTGATGCCATCACCACAATCAAAGAAAGAGACACATGCAGCACCTCCCAAAGTTCCCTTGTGTCCTTTTTGTTGTGGTAACAACACAACATGAAGCGTTCTTAACACTTAAAAATTTGAAGTGCCTAATATAATATTGTTCACTGTAGGCACTATGTTGTTCGGCAGATCTCTAGAATTTATTCATCTATAGCATAAATGAAACTTTAACCCATTGAACAACTCCCCACTTCCCCTACTCCCAACCCGTGGCAACCATTGTATTCTCTGCTTCTACGAGCTTGGTTATTATAGATAACATCATGTAAGTGGAATGATGTAAAATTTGTCCTGTGACTGGCTTATTTCACTTAGAATAATGTCCTCCATGTTCATCCATGTTGGCATAAATGGCAGGACTTCATTCTTTTTTAAGGCTGATATTCCACATATTCTTCATTCATTTATCTGTTGATGCACACTTGGGTTATTTCCATATCTACTATTGCACTTTTTTTTTTTTTTTTTGAGATGCAGTCTCACTCTGCTGCCCAGGCTGGAGTGCAGTGGCACAATCTCGGCTCACTGCAAGCTCTACCTCCTGGGTTCACGCCATTCTCCTGCCTCAGCCTCCCGAGTAGCTGGGACTACAGGTGCCTGCCACCAGGCCTGGCTAATTTTTTTGTATTTTTTAGTAGAGATGGGGTTTCACCGTGTTCGCCAGGATGGTCTCGATCTCCTGACCTTGTGATCCTCCCACCTGGGCCTCCCAAAGGGCTGGGATTACAGACGTGAGCCACCACGCCTGGCCTGCAGTGTGTCTTTTTAAGTTCCTTAATAGGCAGGAGAAAGAAAACATTTGGACAGTAAATTTAAGTAACTAAGAAGCTTAGTATAAGAATTACAATGGATTTTAGCGCCTCCTGGCTCCTGTTCTCTGAGAGGATAGTCATGAGATCTGAGTTTTACTCTTGCAGATAGTCTCATTAACAGATTTGGTTAACATCTTGTTAAAGAAAATTATTTTAATCCCTGATGGTAGGAAAAGCCTACTAGCCCTTTCTTCTTTCCCAGAATGTGTAGATATTAGTTCTAGAACACAGGTGTCTGTTAATATTTTAGCAGCACTTTGTGACTTTACATCTGTAGGATAGCCGTTGTGGTAAGTGAAAGTTCTTTACCTTAAAGTAGCTAAAGTGGCTTCACAGCCAGCCCCTGAGTGGCTTTGGCTCAATCTCAGCCTCTGGGAGTCTGTGAACCTACAGCCATATGATCAACCCACCCTGGAGCTTATTCAGGACTACTCCCCTATCCCTTATGCCCCACCCCCTACTCCTAATCCACCAGGGATCTGCAGGGATCATACTTTTGG